TCTATGTGTTAGTGTATCTTACAGTGGGTTCTCTAGATGTTAGTGTATCTCACAGTGGGTTCTCTAGGTGTTAGTGTATCTTACAGTGGGTTCTCTAGATGTTAGTGTATCTCACAGTGGGTTCTCTAGGTGTTAGTGTATCTCACAGTGGGTTCTCTATGTGTTTCGTGTATCTTACAGTGGGTTCTCTAGATGTTAGTGTATCTCACAGTGGGTTCTCTAGGTGTTAGTGTATCTTACGTGGGTTCTCTAGATGTTAGTGTATCTCACAGTGGGTTTCTCTAGGTGTTAGTGTATCTCACAGTGGGTTCTCTATGTGTTCGTGTATCTTACAGTGGGTTCTCTAGATGTTAGTGTATCTCACAGTGGGTTCTCTAGGTGTTAGTGTATCTTACAGTGGGTTCTCTAGGTGTTAGTGTATCTCACAGTGGGTCTACTAGTGTTAGTGGTATCTTACAGTGGGTTCTCTAGGTGTTAGTGTATCTTACAGTGGGTTCTCTAGGTGTTAGTGGTATCTTACAAGTGGGTTCTCTAGATGTTAGTGTATCTTACAGTGGGTTCTCTAGGTGTTAGTGTATCTTACAGTGGGTTCTCTAGGTGTTTAGTGTATCTTACAGTGGGTTCTCTAGGTGTTAGTGTATCTTACAGTGGGTTCTCTAGATGTTAGTGTATCTTACAGTGGGTTCTCTAGTGTTAGTGTATCATACAGTGGGTTCTCTAGGTGTTAGGGTATCTTACAGTGGGTTCTCTAGGTGTTAGTGTATCTTACAGTGGGTTCTCTAGGTGTTAGTGTATCTCACAGTGGGTTCTCTAGATGTTAGTGTATCTTACAGTGGGTTATCTAGGTGTTAGTGTATCTTACAGTGGGTTCTCTAGATGTTAGTGTATCTTACAGTGGGTTATCTAGGTGTTAGTGTATCTTACAGTGGGTTCTCTAGATGTTAGTGTATCTCACAGTGGGTTCTCTAGGTGTTGTGTATCTTACAGTGGGTTCTCTAGATGTTAGTGTATCTCACAGTGGGTTCTCTAGATGTTAGTGTATCTTACAGTGGGTTCTCTAGATGTTAGTGTATCTCACAGTGGGTTTCTCTAGGTGTTAGTGTATCTCACAGTGGGTTTCTCTAGGTGTTAGTTGTATCTTACCAGTGGGTTCTCTAGATGTTAGTGTATCTTACAGTGGGTTCTCTAGATGTTAGTGTATCTCACAGTGGGTTCTCTAGATGTTAGTGTATCTCACAGTGGGTTCTCTAGATGTTAGTGTATCTCACAGTGGGTTCTCTAGATGTTAGTGTATCTCACAGTGGGTTCTCTAGATGTTAGTGTATCTTACAGTGGGTTCTCTAGATGTTAGTGTATCTTACAGTGGGTTCTCTAGATGTTAGTGTATCTTACAGTGGGTTCTCTAGGTGTTAGTGTATCTTACAGTGGGTTCTCTAGATGTTAGTGTATCTCACAGTGGGTTCTCTAGGTGTTAGTGTATCTCACAGTGGGTTCTCTAGGTGTTAGTGTATCTTACAGTGGGTTCTCTAGATGTTAGTGTATCTCACAGTGGGTTCTCTCGGTGTTAGTGTATCTTACAGTGGGTTCTCTAGGTGTTAGTGTATCTTACAGTGGGTTCTCTAGGTGTTAGTGTATCTTACAGTGGGTTCTCTAGATGTTAGTGTATCTTACAGTGGGTTCTCTAGGTGTTAGTGTATCTTACAGTGGGTTCTCTAGGTGTTAGTGTATCTCACAGTGGGTTCTCTAGATGTTAGTGTATCTCACAGTGGGTTCTCTAGATGTTAGTGTATCATACAGTGGGTTCTCTAGATGTTAGTGTATCTTACAGTGGGTTCTCTAGGTGTTAGTGTATCTCACAGTGGGTTCTCTAGGTGTTAGTGTATCTCACAGTGGGTTCTCTAGGTGTTAGTGTATCTTACAGTGGGTTCTCTAGGTGTTAGTGTATCTTACAGTGGGTTCTCTAGATGTTAGTGTATCATACAGTGGGGTTCTCTAGATGTTAGTGTATCTTACAGTGGGTTCTCTAGGTGTTAGTGTATCTTACAGTGGGTTCTCTAGGTGTTAGTGTATCTCACAGTGGGTTCTCTAGGTGTTAGTGTATCTCACAGTGGGTTCTCTAGGTGTTAGTGTATCTTACAGTGGGTTCTCTAGATGTTAGTGTATCATACAGTGGGTTCTCTAGATGTTAGTGTATCTTACAGTGGGTTCTCTAGGTGTTAGTGTATCTCACAGTGGGTTCTCTAGGTGTTAGTGTATTTTACAGTGGGTTCTCTAGGTGTTAGTGTATCTTACAGTGGGTTCTCTAGGTGTTAGTGTATCTTACAGTGGGTTCTCTAGGTGTTAGTGTATCTTACAGTGGGTTCTCTAGATGTTAGTGTATCATACAGTGGGTTCTCTAGATGTTAGTGTATCATACAGTGGGTTCTCTAGATGTTAGTGTATCATACAGTGGGTTCTCTAGATGTTAGTGTATCTCACAGTGGGTTCTCTAGATGTTAGTGTATCATACAGTGGGTTCTCTAGATGTTAGTGTATCATACAGTGGGTTCTCTAGGTGTTAGTGGTATCTTACAGTGGGGTTCTCTAGGTGTTAGTGTAATCTTACAGTGGGTTCTCTAGGTGTTAGTGTAGTCTCACATGGGTTCTCTAGGTGTTAGTGTATCTCACAGTGGGTTCTCTAGGTGTTAGTGTATCTTACAGTGGGTTCTCTAGATGTTAGTGTATCTCACAGTGGGTTCTCTAGATGTTAGTGTATCTTACAGTGGGTTCTCTAGATGTTAGTGTATCTTACAGTGGGTTCTCTAGATGTTAGTGTATCTTACAATGGGTTCTCTAGGTGTTAGTGTATCATACAGTGGGTTCTCTAGATGTTAGTGTATCTTACAGTGGGTTCTCTAGATGTTAGTGTATCTTACAGTGGGTTCTCTAGATGTTAGTGTATCTTACAGTGGGTTATCTAGATGTTAGTGTATCTCACAGTGGGTTCTCTAGGTGTTAGTGTATCTTACAGTGGGTTCTCTAGGTGTTAGTGTATCTTACAGTGGGTTCTCTAGATGTTAGTGTATCTCACAGTGGGTTCTCTAGATGTATAGTGTATCTCACAGTGGGGTCTTCTAGATGTTAGTGTATCTTACAGTGGGTTCTCTAGGTGTTAGTGTATCTTACAGTGGGTTTCTCTAGATGTTAGTGTATCTCACAGTGGGTTCTCTAGATGTTAGTGTATCTCACAGTGGGTTCTCTAGATGTTAGTGTAATCTCACAGTGGGTTCTCTAGATGTTAGTGTATCTTACAGTGGGTTCTCTAGATGTTAGTGTATCTCACAGTGGGTTCTCTAGATGTTAGTGTATCTCACAGTGGGTTCTCTAGATGTTAGTGTATCTTACAGTGGGTTCTCTAGGTGTTAGTGTATCTCACAGTGGGTTCTCTAGGTGTTAGTGTATCTTACAGTGGGTTCTCTAGGTGTTAGTGTATCATACAGTGGGTTCTCTAGATGTTAGTGTATCTTACAGTGGGTTCTCTAGATGTTAGTGTATCTTACAGTGGGTTCTCTAGATGTTAGTGTATCTTACAGTGGGTTCTCTAGGTGTTAGTGTATCATACAGTGGGTTCTCTAGATGTTAGTGTATCTTACAGTGGGTTCTCTAGATGTTAGTGTATCTTACAGTGGGTTCTCTAGATGTTAGTGTATCTTACAGTGGGTTCTCTAGGTGTTAGTGTATCTCACAGTGGGTTCTCTAGGTGTTAGTGTATCTTACAGTGGGTTCTCTAGGTGTTAGTGTATCTCACAGTGGGTTCTCTAGGTGTTAGTGTATCTCACAGTGGGTTCTCTAGATGTTAGTGTATCTCACAGTGGGTTCTCTAGGTGTTAGTGTATCTTACAGTGGGTTCTCTAGATGTTAGTGTATCTCACAGTGGGTTCTCTAGATGTTAGTGTATCTCACAGTGGGTTCTCTAGATGTTAGTGTATCTCACAGTGGGTTCTCTAGATGTTAGTGTATCTTACAGTGGGTTCTCTAGGTGTTAGTGTATCTTACAGTGGGTTCTCTAGATGTTAGTGTATCTTACAGTGGGTTCTCTAGGTGTTAGTGTATCTCACAGTGGGTTTCTCTAGATGTTAGTGTATCTTACAGTGGGGGTTCTCTAGATGTTAGTGTATCTCACAGTGGGTTCTCTAGGTGTTAGTGTATCTTACAGTGGGTTCTCTAGGTGTTAGTGTATCTTACAGTGGGTTCTCTAGGTGTTAGTGTATCTTACAGTGGGTTCTCTAGTGTTAGTGTATCTTACAGTGGGGTTCTCTAGGTGTTAGTTGTATCTTACAGTGGGTTTCTCTAGATGTTAGTGTATCTCACAGTGGGTTCTCTAGGTGTTAGTGTATCTCACAGTGGGTTCTCTAGGTGTTAGTGTATCTTACAGTGGGTTCTCTAGATGTTAGTGTATCTTACAGTGGGTTCTCTAGGTGTTAGTGTATCTTACAGTGGGTTCTCTAGATGTTAGTGTATCTTACAGTGGGTTCTCTAGATGTTAGTGTATCTTACAGTGGGTTCTCTAGGGTGTTAGTGTATCTTACAGTGGGGTTCTCTAGATGTTAGTGTATCTTACAGTGGGTTCTCTAGATGTTAGTGTATCTACAGTGGGTTCTCTAGGGTGTTAGTGTATCTCACAGTGGGTTCTCTAGATGTTAGTGTATCTTATCTTATGTGATTATGTTCTCTGAGAGGAGGCTCACCTTCCACGCTTTGGGAACCCCTGCTCTAGATGTTAGTGCATGTAAATGGTCTGCAAAGGCTAAAATCCCTATGCTTGATATCAGTGTTTGACAGTAAATAGGAAATATCGGACTCACTTCGAGCTCCCGTGAAGCGATGGCGCCGAGTTCGTCTTCCGGAAACCTTCCTTTTGTCCGGAGCGACGCCCCGCCTCCCGCTGTGACTCCTCGCCCTCAGCGGGGGGGCGGGACTTCTGGTAAATGGCCCTGCCCCCCCGCTGAGGGCGGAGTCAGAGCGGGAGGAGGGGGGGTCGGGGTGAGCCAATGGGGCGAAGCTGAGCTCCAGAATCTGCTTAGTCACTGTCGCAGATCTGACTCTGAACACACACGGAGACATAATATTACTTTTTAAATGTATTATTAATACAACCATTTTTTTTAAAATTGTCATTATGTTTTGTTTTTTTAACACAAATCATTTTGTCAATTTCTTTTTGTAAGTTTATGACTATCAACGCAGAAAATAGTTAGGGTATTTTTTGTGTAACCTGTGAGATATCTCGTAAATAGATTTTTTTTAAAAGACCCGAGTTATTTCTCAGGATGTTACCCCCTCCCTCGGCTCTGTATTCCATATTGTATTAACTCCAACACTCTACAGCAGGTGTTTATGTAACCAGAGGAGCCTCTCACCTGGATCTCAGGTGTGAGCGTGGGCAGGTCGAAGGTGAACACGGATGTGGACCCGAGGTCAGGAGGTCAACGCTGTCGAGGGCTGCTGTACGACGTGCCTTTCGCTCGGTGCGACTCCATGATGGTTTCAAAGTGTCGGCTGAACGAGTCCAGGTTGCTTTCTGACGGCCGGCGAGGACTTCCTAAAGAGATCGGAGACTTCAGGCCGCCGTGAGACTCCGACAACGCTCTGAGGGTTAAAAACATTTCAGCTTTAGAGGATCAGACACACAACAACAAGATCTCCAACAGGTGCTCCAGACGCCGGAAAGACGGTTCGACCTGCCGTAGTTTCATTGGGAATTTGTGAGTTTAATCTCAGGGAATATTCAAAGTTGTAATGTTTGTAAATTGTGATTTTTCCTCTATTTAAATGTGATTCTTGAATCTTTTTTGTTTGTTACATTTTTGTTGTAATGTTTTTTCTCTTTACTACACTTTTATTTTAGTCTAGCATATATTTGTGACTTTAATCGAGAAAATATTACGTTTTTTCTCTCCTAAATGTATGTGTTGTAACTCAGAAAATATCCAACTTTTTAAAAATATTTTAAACCAGTTCCAGTTCTTTAATCTATTGGTGTTAATATATAAATGTAATCTTAGAGAATACATTATGATATATACATTATAAAAATACCCATACGTTTGTGAATTTAATCTCAAATACTCAATATTTTCTCTTGTAAATGTGTGTATTTAAATGTCAAAGAATATTACATTTTTTTCAATAATTATTTCGTTTTTCTCGTACATGTGTAACTTTAATCAGAGAAAGTACTGATGTGTACTAGTACTAGAGGTGTTTCCCGGCTCAGATTACGAAAAATAATAGAAACATTTATGGATTCTATAAATTCACAGTCCCTAAAACCTCACAATATAAACTTTATAAAAATATTCGCCAAATCCAACCCTATCCATTTGGCCGCCCTGCCCCAGAGCATCATGGGAAGTGTAGTTTTCTGGCTCACCCCTTCAGCAGCAGACTGAAGACCTCGTCCTCGTCTCTGGTTACTTTTTGTTTCTGTCGGTCTCCCAGCATCCGAACACTGGCCCAGCTCACCACTCCTTCCTCTTCCTGTCCATCTTCCTCCTCCTCCTCTTCGTCCACCTTCCTCCCAACGTCTCTCCGGGGTTTAGGGGAAACGTTGGGGGGGCTGAAGGAGTTTCCCAAATGACTCCCAAAGTCTGAGTCCGCCTCCTCTGCTGCCTCCGCCTCGGCCTCTGCCCGCATCACCTGCAATCACAAATACAGTGTAAAGCCGGACATGTTGAAACCAGGGTTTCCGTTAGCCGGTAAGTACCGCTTTTTAGCTGGGAAAATGTATACAAAAACGGTAAATTCAAAACCTGCCAGAGACACGCATCTCTACCGGATCACAGCTCCGCCCGCTGTGACGGACCGGTGAGCAAAACACACACTTCAAGTTAGACCTAACACACTTAGCTATTTTATCTACCTCTGGAACAAGCTACACTGGTTATACATATATTTGCATGAGAGCTGCATGAGATACTGACGGGCTGTCAGGAGGGAGGGAGAGAGAGAGAGAGAGAGAGAGAGAGAGAGAGAGAGAGAGAGAGAGAGAGAGACAGAGATACAGAAGAGAGAGATAGAGAGAGATCGACAGAGA